TACTGACCATCTGTTCTGTGCATTTTTTTTTCAAAATTTTTGGTCTTTTTTATAGCACAAAAAAATAAAAACTCAGTGGAGATTAAATACCACCACAAGAAATCTCTATTTGTGTGAAAAAATTTCATATGGGTACAGTGTTGCATGACCGCACAATTGTCATTCAAAATGTGACAGCACTGAAAGGTGAACATTGGCCTGGACAGGAAGGGGGTGAAAGTGCCCGGTAGACAAGTGATTAAAAAAGGACAGAACAATTTCCAGACATGTTATAAAGAATACAGTTATGCAATGGCATGTCCTTTTGGGCGGAACAGCAAGCCAAATTGGGCCCATGGAAAGGTGATCTGCAGAAGCGCCTGCTTAAATTGGAGGCTAGGTGGATTTTTCATTTTGGATCACGGGCCCCCCATAACCTAAATGAAGGGTTTACTTTTTTAACCCTCGTATGCGGTTAACGCCCCTTCTCTATTTCATATTTTGGTAAGGTGTTTTTTTTTTGTGTGTTTTAGGATAAGGCAAAATTATATTAATAATATGGTGGTCTCCCATTGATGGGTTATTATGCCCTATGTGCAGATATAATAGTGTTAGTTTTTTTGGAGCCCTAAGATGTATAGTTATTTTATTACTTCTTGGCTTCCTTTAAATTAGGATAATGTATTTGTATTATGCACTATTAATGTTTTATTGATATTTGTTGATATAGTATATCCTGCTATGTTTTCTTAGTAGGCAGGGATGGACAAGAGTTGTCTTTTATTCCAATGTCCATGTGTTTCTTTCTCCACAAGTTGGCACTTCTGGACTGTTTATAGCATGGGATGGTATAGAGTGAATTCCAATGCAAATGTCCATCTGTTGTTTTCTCTCTTCCCACAAGATGGCGCCCCAGTTTATAATGGTTATGTGCGGTGTTGTGACGCGGTGACGTCATGACATCCATGTGCCTGATGATGTCATCACACTTTCGGTGTGACAGCCATTTTGCTTTTGGATTTTTATAAATAAAGGAGGCTGCATATTTGCAAGCCATTTTCCACCATGAGCTCTTTAGTTTGTTTTTGAATTTCTGTTGGGTGCACAGTTAGATTTATGTTGTTCACTCCTGATGAAGCTCTTATAATAAGCGAAACATGTTGAGTTAGTTTTTTGCACCTTTTATTTATTTTTCGTTTGGGGAGTTACACATGGTCTAGTAGGATTGAGAAAGATCACTCAAATATGTTCTTTAGTTTAGAATGCTGAGCTCTGTAGTGAATCCGGGTTAGTTTTTTTTTTGGCTTTATTTAGTGAGGTTAAGGAGTTGTAGGAGTTGATGGGATTAGGATACTGACCACTCTAATAGTTTCTACTCCCTACTCACCTGTTTGTTGTGATCGTGACTTAGACATTACCATAAAAACAGTGTATTTTTTTTCATTACTGCAGGGCGTGAGTCACATGTTTTGAGATATTTTCAACAATATAAAAGCCAATGTTTACTGTATGGACTGTCCAATTTATTAAATAGGGGATATGTTTACCCAGTGAGAGATTTATCACATCTTTTTTCTATCTTTGGATGTGCTTTTGTTTTGTGTAATTTTTTCCCAGTTCACCCTACAGGTGGCTAAGAGAAGTTTGGAAGAGACAGTTCTTTGTTTTGAGCATCCATAGGTGTCCTTCCTAACAGTATGTTAACAACACACACAATAATTCTACTATTCAATAAAAAGTCCTAATAAAAGTTAGGTAATTGGTTCTCCTAGTGGTTTTGGGTGCATGGGTATACACACCATCGTTTCTCCGTTACAGTATATATACGAGCTATATTTTGGGAGTTTTTCTCTATTGGTAAATATAGTAGGCATTAGTGTTAGTACAACTGATGCTAAACTCTCTGGCCTGTAATTGCCAGCTTTTTCCTTGCTGCCATTCTTGTGGACAGGCACAATATTAGCTGTCTGCTAGTCATGGGAAACTTCTACTATTAGAAGAGATTGATTAAAAAGATCCGTAATGGTCTAACAACTCTACCTTGAAGTTCTCTTAGACCTCTGGAATAAATACCATCTGGGCCCATTGCTTTATTAAGCTTTAACCGAGCCAGCTCCTCTGCTCTCTCTGTCTCCAGAAATTCTAAAAATGAACTGTCATTACTAGAACCAGTATGAGTCCCCATCTTGTTATTGCTAGTAAAATTTATTTCTGCAATGACTAAACAGAAATAATTGTTTAAATGGCTTGCTACATCAAGGTCTCCCTCCACATAAGTGTTGTGCCCAGTTTTCATTTTAGTGATCCCATTTTATTTTTTATTTTTATCAGTAATTATTATTATTATATTATTATACAGTATTTATATAGCGCCAAAGGGTATGCTCAGCGCTGTACAGTAGCAAGGGGGACAGAACATGAGACAAGACAGTAACAATACAATACACGAGGGGTTCGAGGGCCCTGCTCTTTCGAGCTTACAATCTAGGAGGGAGGGGAAGGTGGTACAGGAGGAAATGGCTGTGGGGGATGGAGTGGTGGGAGGAGTGTAGGAGGTTAGTTGTTAGGTGAGGTCAGGTGTTAGGTGAGGTTGGGGTAGGCTTCCCTGAAGAGGAGGGTTTTCAGGGTGCGCCGGAAGGTGAGGAGGGTAGGTGACAGTCTGATGGATTGGGGTAAGGAGTTCCAGAGGCTGGGGGAAGTCCTAGAGAAGTCCTGTAATCGGGCGTGGGAGGAGGAGACCAGGGAGCTAGAGAGCAGGAGGTCCTGTGAGGAGCGGAGGGCACGGGTAGGGTAGTATTTGACTATCCAAACAAGCCTTGCCCCCCGCCACAACCCAAACCCGTATCAGGTCGGTTATGTAGTTTGGAGCGGCGTTGTGAATGGCTTTGTAGGTCAGAGTTAGCAGTTTGAATTTGATGCGTTGGGCAATCGGGAGCCAATGAAGGGATTGGCAGAGGGAGGAGGCAGATGTGGAGCGGTTGGTGAGGTGGATGAGTCTAGCCGCTGAGTTTAGGATCGACTGGAGTGGGGATAGCGTTTGTTTGGGTAGGCCAGTGAGAAGGGAATTGCAATAGTCCAGGCGTGAGATGATGAGGGAGTGTACGAGTTGTTTGCTGGTGTCGTGGGTGAGGAATGTGCGTTTCTTGGAGATGTTGCGGAGGTGGAGCCTGCAAGATCTAGATAGCAGTTGGATGTGGGGGAGGAAGGAGAGGTGGGAGTCCAGGGTGACACCCAGGACTTTGGCGTGTGGGGTGGGAGAGATGGCGGCGTTGTTAGTAGTGATGGAGAAGATGGGGGGGCGCGGGGGGGAAGACCAGGAGCTCGGTTTTGGATAGGTTAAGTTTGAGGAAATGGAGCGACATCCAGTCTGATATGTCGTTTAGGAGGTGGGCGATGCGGGCGGAGAGTGAGGGGGTAAATTTGGGTGTCGTCGGCATAGAGGTGATAATTGAAGCCGTGGGAGTGAATAAGTTTGCCAAGGGAGGAGGTATAGATGGAGAAGAGGAAGGGCCCGAGGACAGAGCCTTGGGGGACCCCGACAGAGAGGGGGAGGGAGGGGGAGGTGGCAGTGTTGTAGGTGATGCTGAAGGAGCATTGGGAAAGGTAGGAGGAGAACCAGGAGAGAGCAGCGTCCCTAATGCCAAGGGAGTGCAGTTTGGCAAGGAGGAGAGGGTGGTCAACAGTGTCGAAGGCCGCGGAGAGGTCGAGGAGCAGGAGGATAGAATAGTGGCCATTGGCTTTGGCGGTTAGCAGGTCGTTGGTGATTGTAAGTAGGGCGGTTTCAGTGGAGTGCAGGGGACGGAAGCCAGACTGTAGGGGGTCAAGGAGGTTGTTATCAGTGAGGTGGGCGCTTAGGCGATTGTAGGCCAGGCGTTCAAGGAGCTTGGAAGTGAAAGGCAGCAGGGAGATGTGTCTAAGGTTGTTAAGGTTAGTGGGGTCAAGGGAGGGTTTTTTGAGTATGGGGGTGATGTGTGCTTTAGAGGGGAGGGGAAGGTGCCGGTGGAGAGGGAGAGATTGAAGATGTGGGTGAGGGAGCAAATGATGGAGGGGGGGGGTGACTGGAGGAGCTGTGAGGGGATAGGATCCAGGGGGCAGGTGGTGAGGCGGGCTTCAGTGAAGACCTTAGAGACCTCCTCAGGGGTAGTTGGGCTGAAGGAGCGGAGTGTAGGGGAGGTGATGGTGTGCGGGGCATTAGGTATAGTGGGGGTAGTGCGGCTATGAGGTCGGGGGAGGGGAGGGTTGAGGGGTTAAAGGAGGGTGGAAGGCTGGGTGGAGAGGTGGCTTGTGAGTTGACAATGTCTTTATGGATTGCGTCAATCTTGTTTTGGAAGTGATTGGCAATCTTGTGGGAGGTGAGTGAGGTGCTGGGTGAGGGGAGAGAGCAGGGATTTGAAGGTGGAGAAGAGCTGGCGAGGACAGGTGGAGAGGGTGTTGATAAGGGTTATGAAATAGGCTTGCTTGGTGGCGTGGAGGGAGGTGGTGTAGGCGAGGTAGGCGGCTTTAGAGAGGGAGAACGCGCAAGGGGATCTGGTTTTGCGCCATAAGAGCTCCAGCGCGCGACTGTGTCGTTTGAGGCATTTCGTGTGGTCGTTTTGCCAGGGTTTAAGCGGCCGGGGCCTAATGCTATGTGTGGTTAGGGGTGCCAGGGAGTCAAGGGCAGCTGACAGTGAGTCTTTGTATGCAGTAGTGGCCAGGTCAGGGCATGACAGAGGGAGGATACTGTCATACAGACGGTCAGCTGCCGGGTGGAGATGGGTCGGGTTCAGATTGCGGAGGTTGCGGGTGATGGTTAGACGCTTTGGGGGGGGGAGTTGAGGGAGGGGGAGATGGAGGTGGTGGTCAGAGAGGGGGAGGGGGGTGTTAGTGAAATCGTGGGGGTGCAGAGGTGGGAGAAATTGAGGTCCAGGGTGTTTCCATTGGAGTGGGTGGAGGATTGAGTGTGCTGTGTGAGCGCGAAGGAGGAGGTTAGAAGGAAGAGTTGGGAAGTAGCCGGGCTGTTGGCGTTGATCGGGATATTGAAGTCCCTTCTCGCGCATGCACAGTGGGCACCCGGCACAGCCAGGCACAGCACAGCCGGGTGCCCACACTAAAGGGAGGACAACTCCGCAGGAGTGGGAGCGGGTACCTGTCAAATTCAGGTACCCTCTCCCCCTTCCTCCCCAAAGGTCCGCAGTCTCTTGGTCATCCCCTGTACTGTCTGCAGTCTCTGGTCATCCCCTGTACTGTCTGCAGTCTCTGGTCATCTGTACTATGTCTACAGTCTCTGGTCATCCCCTGTACTTGTCAGTCTCTGGTCATCTCCTGTACTGTTCCGCAGTCTCTGGTCATCCCCCTGTACTGTGTCCGCAGTCTCTGGTCATCTCCTGTACTGTGTCCGCAGTCTCTGGTCATCTCCTGTACTGTGTCCGCAGTCTCTGGTCATCTCCTGTACTGTGTCCGCAGTCTCTGGTCATCTCCTGTACTATGTCCACAGTCTCTGGTCATCTCCTGTACTGTGTACGCAGTCTCTGGTCATCTCCTGTACTGTGTCTGCAGTCCATTGGTTCAGAATATTTTTTTTCTTGTTTTTCTCCTCTAAAACCTAGGCGCGTCTTATGGTCAGGTGGGTCTTATGGAGCGAAAAATACAGTACATTCCTTCTTCAAAGGGAAAAGTTGGGTATATTGATAATCCTCCATATCTACATAAAATCTGGCATTCATTAAACAAGATTGTGTTATAGATAAAGTTGCTGTATGCCTACGACCCACACAGGTACCGCTGAAGAGACATCCCGCAGACCATCCACTCTGCTACAAGGATCCCATGTGCTCCAAACCACAGTAGTATGAACATCCAAAAGGTACCTTTTGGATGGAGTAGAAGGGGTTCCTGCCTGATGACCAAGGTTCCTCCTCTTGGATATATATAGGGTATATATATTCTGAATTATGGTTTGGATATTTTGTGCGCTCGATCTATGGTGAGCTCCATATCCATGATTGATCGCAGTAATGTATTGCTGGTGATGTTTTCAGGAATACCGCTGAATTTAATGTTGTTGCACCTGGAACGGTCCTCTAGGTCCGCTAATTTAAGGTTTATTTGTTTAATATCAGCATCATGGTCTGCGTGTGCATCAATAAGGTCATTGTGTGCTGTAAATATTTCTCCCATCTTGTTTTCTATATGGTGTAATCATTGTTCTTGTTTTTGTACCACATTTGAAATCTGGGATAGTGATGCTGTCAGATTGTTGCGTAATGTTTGTCGCAGAGAAAGAAGCATGTTTTTCATGAATATTTTGGTGATAGGTTGGTTCGAAGCAGGGAAAGATTCTATTAAAGATGGAGTAGTATTGTGAGGTAGCATTTGTGAGAGGAAAGGCTGACTGTCAGGTAGGGAGTCAGTATCCAGTCTGGGCCTGGATTTGTCCGGGCTGCTTGTGGTGGAAGACAGGGGAGGAGAAGATTCACCCGGGTCTCCTGGGTATAGTGGAGCTCTGAGCCTGGATCCAGATACTGGGATGTGTTGTCCCCCTCATAGGAGCTGTGGCCATTTGATGTGCCGCCGGCGCCATCTTGGCTGCATGCTGTGACAGCAGGGAAGAATTTAGCAAGCTTCCCTGGCTGTCCCGGAGCTTTGCGACGATGTGTCATGCTTTGGTGAGGGTTCTGTGACCCTTATCTCTTGTGCAGAGTGATTACTTTGCCTTGGGGTCGGGGTGAGCCGAGACAATGCTAGCGGGTGGACGGAGCTCGTCTCACAACGCATCCATCCCAGAGCCGCCGCGCATGCGCCCCCTGACTTTTCATTATAAAGGCCTTATCCACAACACTTACCTGGTTTGCAACCTCAGATAAACCAGTTACTTTTGGCAAAGAAATTTTTTTCTTAGGGTCCTCCTTGTTATGCAGGGAAGGGTTGCCAATTTCACAAGCAGCCATGTTTGCAACCTTTGCTTCTAGTTCAGAAAGAACACTATAGGGGTTATGCAGTGTCACACCAAAAGCTACATGTTTATGGTTTTCATTTTTCTCTACGGCATATATACCAATGAAGGAAGAGTCTTACGTAAGTGAGGGGATCCCTAACTATGACGATTGTTAATCCCATCCAGTCTTAGTCCAAATTAAAGGGACAGAAGCCATTTATAACCTCATTTAACGGTCTGGTCATATTTACCAGGTGAGAGCACAGCTGGTGCTGATGCACGCATGGTTGTTACAACTATGCAATAGTGGTGAATTGAACACTTATTGTTTTGTCCACCTCACTGGAAAGAGGATTACATATGGACACTTAAGTTTAGAAAAGTGATATTGTATTTGGATACAAAACATTTTTTGGAATATTTTTATATTGTTTTTGGCATTTTTTTTTCACTTGTCAGTGGACCGCGACACTATTTTATTCATTTTTTAGATGTTTATGGTCCATATTGCATTGCAATATTTTGTATTATATCCAGAGAGAAAGTGTAGCTTTAGCGAAAAGAGCTTGTGGTTTAGTGAGATCAATAGCTCAAGTGGAAATGTATACATACCACTGAATGGGTCAGAGTAGTGTCTCCTTCCTTTCTCTCCACCTTCTTCTAAAGGCGTCTAACCAAGGTTTCAGTGAGAGACATTGCTGTGTAAAGCAGCTACCTTTTCCTTAGTTTGTCGAATTTTTGTTTAAAATGTTCTATCCTGAGGCCAAATATTTTATTTTTTAATTTGTTTTATTTATTTTAATTGATAGAAAGTATTGGTGGCTTAGGAGGTCATCATGAGCTGCTGGTCGCTTGCCAGACTTCAATTAACTGATTATAATCCAGAGAGAGTGTTCTAAGGCACTGATTAAAATATAAGTGAACAAATCAAATTTATATGATCATGCAAAACTATTTATATTTTAAATTATGACTTTATTTGTTGTTAATTAGCGAGTATTACCATAATGATGCTTCGGAAAGATGATCTATTTTCAGTCCACATCACATTTTAGATATACCAACCATTGTATTCATGGTTTATTTACAAGGCGATAACAGTGTATGCTCTATAATGTATCATAAAGTCATAATTTACAAACAAGTGCATTTATAATATAAGACAAATGGCATAAAACAATTACAGGATACGCAAGACCTTAAAACCTAAATGATGTAAGAGAAGCCAGATAGGTATGGGATTCCAAGACAAGTTAATTTTGGAGAACATTAAGTAATACAACACTAAGTAATACAAGTGAGCTTTCAACCAAATCAAACCAAATTGAAGCAGGTACTAAACTGGGCACAATGAACAGGGAAATATAGGGGTTGATTTACTAAAACTGCAGAGTGCACAATCTGTTGCAACTCTGCATGGTAGCCAATCAGCTTCTAACTTCAGCTTGTTTAATTAACCCCTTCACGCCTAAGGGCAAAACAAATCTAAATGCCTAAGCACAATTCTGCAACGTTGACGTGTTAGTAAAACCGTAAATATCGTCACAACTACTTTGTACATCCAGGTGGATTATACCTTGTTTTTTTAAGGACAAATTGGGCTTTCATTTGGTGGTAAATGGTCATGGATAGCTCCTAATTTTTTTTTTTTTATTAAAGGAAAACTGGGCCAAAATAGTAAAAAAAAATCATTTTTTTAAATTTAACTGTGTGTTTCTTGTTACGATCATAACCTACCACCAAAGAACAACCCAAAATACATTCTCCAGTTCTTGACGATCGCAGCGATACCATATATGTGTATGTTATTTGTTGTTTGTACCCGTAGTACAGTCCAGAAACAACAGTGCGCATTTTGTTTTTTGTCTTTTTTTTTTTTATATAAAACACACTGTCACTGACATTGACATTAACACTGACACCAATTTTTTTTTTAAAATCCTGACCTTTGACCCTGACCTTTGCCCTTGACCCTGACCTTTGACCCTGACCTTTTGACCCTGACCTTGACCCAAACACTAACCCTGGTACTGAACTAGATCAAACCTTGATCTAGGTATTTTTCTTTATTTTTTCTTTTATTTTTTAATATTTATTTATCTTCTTTTTTTTTTTTTACAAACTTTTTTTTTATCTCTCTATGTCAGGAGTTCGAGAGATACAATGTATCTCTCTTCTCCATTCATAGAGAGAGAGAAAACAAGGGGGCCGGGCTGCACAGTGAGTGATCACTGTGATAGCCAATCAGAGGCTGTCACAGCGATCACGTGACCCGGAATCGGAAGTCCCGCGTCCCGATCGTTAGAACGGGACCCGGGGCTCTCAGTGACACCGCGGTCTTGGTGCTGGGAGCGCGCCGAGCGGCGCGCTCCCAGCACAAAGACAGGTACGCAAATATGCGGCCCCACGGAAAAAAGCCCAGGTCCGTGAGGCCGCATATTTGTGTTACGTCGGCGTCAAGGGGTTAAAGTGGAGCTCCACCCAAAAGTGGAAGGCTTCCTCTCCAGCTCCTGTTTGTGAAATGGCGCTTTTGGGGAGGAAGGGGGGAGCAGGTACACAATTTTTTTTTGACAGGTACCCGCTCAAAACTTCCACTCCGATCACCTAGGGACAGCCTTGGAATGCAGGGCAGGTGAGTAGCTGTTTATTAAAAGTCTGCAACTACAGTTTTTGTAGCTGCTGACTCTTAAGTTTTACATAGGAGACTGGAGCTTTACTTTAAGCTTTGACAAAAAAAACTGGAAGTTGATTGGTTTTTATGCAGAGCTGCACCAGATTTTGCACTCTCCAGTTTCAGTAAATCAATCCCATTGACTTGTCCCCAAGTTAACAAAATGCTGGGTCCACTGCATTTTCATTCGAAACTCCCTCTGTGGAGAAGAAGAGAGATGGGCAATGACCCTGCACAAAATAAAATGTTAAAAAGTTGTGTTTAATCCCCTTTCTATCCTACAAAACAATTTAATTATAAGATGTTTAAAATCAGAATTATTGCATGTTATTATCTAGTTTTTTATTGTTACCATATGTCTTAACTACCTGCCGACCGCAGTTAGCCGAATGACAGCTTCACTGCGGCCGGCCAGTTTTGAGTGGACGTCATATGACGTCCTCCCAGAACGCGCTCTCCTGCGCGCCCCAGGGGGCGCGCACCGGGCGATCTCCGTGATCGCTGTGTCCTACGGACACAGCTGATCACGTGATGTGGTAAAAGGCCAATCACAGCGGCCTTTTACCACGTGATCAGCGGTGTCCAATGACACGCTGATCAGAGGGAAATGCAAGTGCCGGTTCTCGGCTGCACTTTCCTCACGCTGTCAGATCATGAGGAAAGTACTGCCGAGAACTGGCAGTTGTCAGTGCGGGGATCGGCACCGATCATCAGGGCACTGATGATCAGTGCCCTGATGATCGGTGCCCAGCA